TTGGAAAAGGCTCAGAGTTATGCACATCTTGTAAAAGAATATGGGCACTTAGAAGACGTCCAAGGGTTAAAGATGTTCGACAAGCATATGGTGTCAGTCTTCGTGGTCAGCAAGCTTACGCGCAAAATTTGTCGTTCCATTAAAGACAGTGGTTAAATCACTCATGTCTCTGGGGGATTAAACCCCAAAGAGTTATTAAAGGAACGGATTTTTTAATGTGGGACGTTCTGCTGCCCACTGTCTGGAGATGGCAAAAAGAGAACTCATAACTAAAGACCTCATCATTCGAACTGAGTACGACGGTCAGTCAAGGACCATCGTTGCCGTGTTCGAGGTCCCTCCTCTGGAGGAAGGAGAACACGTAGCTGCATTCTTCATGCAGTTCGACCAAATTTTAGATGCCACTACTGACAACATAAACGGGGCATGGAGCTTTGACATCATGCTCGATTGTTTGGCCTTCGTCTCCGTCCCTAACTGTTCCGATATTGTGACCGGCAGAAAGCCTACTTGTTGGAGGTGTGGAGAAACTGGTCACCTCTCCCCATCTAGTCCGGGATGAAGGCCTCTGGATTTCCGGCCGCTGGCGACCAAAATCCCCCTCTGGCTGATACTGTTAGTTCCGAGGCGCCTGTAATGGGCCTATCGACGACAAGGACCGGTGCGGAGAATCCCTAGCTTGGGTCCGCGCCCACATATTCCAACAAAAAAAAAACCGACGCCTGCTGCTAGTGCGGATAAGGAGAAGGGGAATGGCGTGTTGTTAGTGAGGGCAGAGGGAAGAGCCATACAGCAGGGCCTCTATCCCAGCATGACCCCAAGGACAATGGCACCAATAGTCCTATTCCTTTTATCATCGCTAAGGGTGATGCACCGGCATCGTATGCATCAACTGCTTTGGATATACAGAAAAGATTGAACAGTTGCAGCAACTGAAAGAAAAGCTAGATACTAAGCGGGAAAAAAAATCAAAGCCGCTGGGGGTCCCGGGTCACTCTTGCTCAGTCCGTCTTCCCCAAAAACCAAGAAATCCTATCACCTTCCACCGCCTAAATCTTTGACAAATACTCCTGTAAACCTTCAGAAACCAGTTGAAGACATTTCATTACTGAAACCATTACCCTTTAAAGATACATTTAATCTGAAAACAACACCCAGAACTACACCTACTCCAATTCTTCATTCCTTCATTAATATAGATAGCTTTGAATGGAAGCGCCGTCCATGGTGTGGGGAAATTAAAAAAAAAAAAAAAAAAAAACTCCATACTTACCTGGGGAAACATCTGCCGCATAGCCCTGGAACAGGCGGAAAGGGTGTTTGTGAAAACGCGAAATCCTAAGGACCTGAAATGCTTATAGAATTTCCGTCATGTTAACGGAAAAGACGTTGAAGTACCTCAAAACTTCGCAGTAGCCAAAAGGGTACCGACTGTGGTACGATCCGGCCCGTTTACGCGGGAGATTTGGAGCATGATCGAGGACCTTTAAAATTGGTGCCCCCAGGGGCATATATGCTTGATGCGCACATGAATGAATTAAATATTGTACAGGGAGGCTCCTCGCTTTCGTTCACCCATCCCTGCATGGAGCCCTAAAACTAACGTATCCCGGGGATATTGGCGTCCTGTCTCTTGATAAAACCATCAAGAGTGAGCTGGGTACTGGATCAATGGAACAGGCCGTCGGTGTTCTCACCCTGGCCATGTTCAATGCAGAAGAGCGACCCTAATCTCTGGTTAGCTACTGTGAATACCCGGGTCCTGAGGTCGGAGCCTCGCAGGGTGAAACTCTCTGGTAATCTTCAGCGTTTCGGAGTGAATATATGTTTATATTATCGATACCGTGTCAAATCGATCCCTGATTGTTACAGCATTATTGGACTTAAAAACAGGTCTTTTTTTATGGAGTACAAACGGATTTCTTTTAAATAAAGGAAAAACGGACGCATATATTTTTAATTAAAAAGGATGTACATAAATTAGTAGAAATATCGATTTTCATTTCAGATAAATATTATTAACTTCAAATGAATGTGCAGCTACGTCTAAAAATCTCTACAAATAAGTTTTTAAATTTAAATCGAGTTAAAAAACTTATAAAATTCAGAAAGTTAAAAAATATTCAGATTATTATTTATTTATTTATTTATTTATTTTATTTTTTCTGATAAAATCCTTTAAAGGTTTCCTCGTAGGCCATGCCTTAATGACATACAAAAAATTTACTCACAAGTATAGCTCACATATTACGAAGAGCTTTATCTATGTAAAATGTATGTAATCTTAGTTTTTTTATCATCTCAAAATTTTTTTTTTGATTATGTCTCATCTGTAGAGCAAAAAATCATCTTAAGTTTGTATATTTATGAGGGGTTACTTCCCTTAGACATTTTAATAATCTATACAAAGAAAATATTTATCTGCATTTAAACAAAATTAGTCCCTGAACAAAATAGACCGTTTAATAAACCAGTTTCTTTACTTCTACGGTACTTAGATTACAGTCTTATTTGTTCAAGCCTTTCATGTGAGATACTCAGATACCTTTGATTATTAAATGATCGTCTTGCTTCAACCTGATCTTGAAATTATCATTGCCGTTCATAATCATTTTCTTCCGAGAGATATTTCCATTTTATTGTTATATTAAACCCATAACATTTTGTAATCAGTTAATCATAGGTACAATTGTGTGTCTAAATATATATATAGCTAGCCAATCGTATTCGAGGATAACAGTCTACTAGGGTGGCTAGCCAATCCCTATTGCAGACGCTCGCTCAGGCACATTTGTGTTTGTTCAACACCCACAGAGCTCACTTGTTTAGTTACTGTTTCTGAGAATGAGCATGATCAACAATTTGAACAAGATGACTTGTACACAGCTATTCCGTGATATGGTTTTGCCGCACGCTAGGATCGACCCCTTCATTCCGATAGCATCAAGAAGTGTCCATCCTGACAAATCGACCAGGGTGAGATTTGAACCCGGGTCTCATGGACAGTATGCGAACGTTCTAGTCATACGTGCGTATGGACGTATAAATAATGTAAAGGGATTAATTAAAAACCTGATTAATTAGACACATTGATACATTGTTGTCTAATTCAGTTCTTTATCTCCGCTATATTGAAGCTCAATGTATTGTTTCATGTCTTTTGTTTCATTGAATCTCATTGTTTGAAATTTTCTAATAATTACCGTAAAAATGAGAGCACAGGTACGCTAGTAAGAAGAAGCATAATGGTCGACTATTCGTTTCTGAGATCATTCGTCGGCTAGGGCGGCTATCTAGCCTTTGTTGTAGGCTCCCACTCAGGCACATTTATATTTGTTCAACGCCCACTTCGCCCACCTGTGTTTTATACTGCAATTATGCAGAGCGGGCCTTAGTGAGAGTTTCTGGGAGAGAGAGCTCATTATGGCGGGCTCAACGAGATCAGTACACTCAAAACTTCAGTCACAATGACTTTGCGCCGTCACAATTGAAATACTTAATACTTCTCGTTTTCACTCTCGCCTGGTCATGTGTGACGTCACGAGCTGCGACGCGATTTTGCTTCCGCGTCTCGTATACACGAGATAGTCGTTGCTTTGAAATTATTGTTTCGCCCGTGTATTATTTGATATATTGAAAGTAATTGTCATCTTTGATAATGACTTATGTTAGCCGAAAGCTTAGATTGGATTTAAACATGTATCAATATGGTGATTTACTTTCTTCTTTCAATGATAATGTTATTAAGCTTATCAGACAATATGAAAGGAACTTACTTAAAAAAAATAGACAACACCTGTCTATATTATTTAATGAATGAAACATGCTTCAATATATATATATATATATATATATATATATATATATATATATATATATATATATAAACTTTTGTCACTCTCAAATCGGATCGACTTGAACATTTATTTGCTGTTAATCCGATTCTCACCCAACAAGCTTGCAGGTAGACCGACGAATAGCTTCTCTGTCATTGAATGGTCAATGTTTCCTTATAAAGAAACGGCTAATATTACCATTACGATTCTGTTAGCAATGCGTGAATTAATTCTTGACCTTTGACAATACATTTCTTATTCATCAGAAATTCACTCCTATAGTAAAATTATGAACAGTGTAAATACATTATACATACAACAGCATTATTCTACCAGTAAAATTTGCGTTAAGTACTGACCATTGATAATACCCCTTTCAATGGATTCCTAAAATTAGCAATAAATTTATATTAATCATAATAGCCTCAATTTTTCAGTAATGCTTGTTTTAATTCCTGAACATTGACAATTCCTTTCTTTCTCATTTACAATGCATTCCCTATAGTAAAATAATTAGCAATGCATGTATATTACACTTATTATGTAAATCACATTAAATTATAATAACTCGACTTCCCTTTGTAAAGTTTTGGCCACATTTTAATCGATTAATTTAGATTTCACGTCAAAGCTGGAGTTAATTTTTTAGTTAGATATAACATGTTTTATTAAAGTTATTGGATTTACTATAAAAACTGCAGTCAGAAGTTATTATACAAAACCAGAAAATCACTTTTTACTTCAATAGCAAAGCAATAAAATCATCAACAATTGATCAACACCTATGACAGAACAAATAACAAACATACATAGTAAGTCTTTAAAACATTTACGTCGTAATACAATAAACCTTCCTCTAAATAACAACGAGCAATCTATTATCCATTGATGTTCTTAAATTATTTACTTGAGCAGGTTCATTTTCTGATAGGTTGTTTTAATTGCTTCCCATAGATTTGCTTTTCTGTCATATTGTTTGCTAGGTTCATATAATTTCATCTTCACATTTGACCATGAATTTTCAAATGGATTCAGATCAGGACATGATGATGGCCGTTCAATTAGCTTCTCTCCTGCAAAACATTTAACCTATTACATTCAATTGGTAAACTTAAATATATGAGAAGTAGCATTGTTGAGCACAAATACATCCATCTATCCTAGACGAGTCTGATCTATCTATCTATCTATCTATCTATCTATCTATCTATCTATCTATCTATCTATCTCAGTCTGTTCATATCTATCTCTCTGTCTCTCTGTTCATATCTATCTATCTATCTATCTATCTATCTATCTCAGTCTGATCATATCTATCTATCTATCTATCTATCTCAGTCTGATCATATCTATCTATCTATCTATCTATCTATCTATCTCAGTCTGATCATATCTATCTATCTCTCTCTCTCTCTATATATATATATATATATATATATATATATATATATCAGTCTGTTCGTATCTATCTATATATTTATCTATCTATCTATTCATCCATCTAAGTTTTATTAAAGTTTTTGGATTTATTATAAAATCTGCCGTCTGAAGATATTATTTAAAACCAGGAAATCACTTTTTACTTCAATAAGAAGGTAATAAATACATCAATAATTGATCCACACGTATAATATAACAAACAAAGCAAATTCGATTTATTAAGGTTTATGTGATTTACATTTCCAAACGAATAATATACTTATAAAGCCCTGAAAGTTTTTACAAATATTCTGTCTTTAAATCATCTACAAAATACACAAACAGCTCTCGTCGTAATAATCATTTTAAAGATGGCAATTTGAAAACTGAACAAAATGAAGATGCTTCGGTCTTAATTATTATTTGAATTCAATGTGGACACATCTTTTCATCTACGAAGAAACATTGGACAAAATATTATTTGATAAGGTGTCAGAGACTGAAGAATAAAATAAATGGATTGGATGAAAATTGATTTAAAAGGAAAGAGACGGAATAAGAGTGAGAAAGAAAGAAAGAAAGAAAGAAAGAAAGAAAGAAAGAAGGAAAGAAAAGAAAATAAAGAGGGAGGGAGAAAGAAAAAGGAGAAGAAAGAGAAGCGAAAGAAAAATGGAAAATGAAGAGGGGAACAAATAGGGAAGAAAGGAATACGGGAAGAAAGAGGGGAAGAAAGATGTTAAAAGAAAGAGGGTAAGAAAGAGAGAAAAGAAAGAACTAAAATAATAGCGTGAGAAGAAATGCGAATGAGAGGTAGAAAGAATAAGTAAGTAAGAGTGAGAGTGAGAGTGTAAGAGTTTGAGAAGGAAAGGCCGATGAAAGAAAGAAAAGAAAGAGAAAAAGAACAGAAAACGGAAGAAAAATGAGTAAAGAAAGAAATAGTGAAAGAAAGAAATGATAAAAGAAAGAGAAAAGAAAATAGAAAGAGGGAAAGAAAGAAAGAAAAATGAGATAGAGAGAAAGTATAAGTGAAAGAAAAAGAAAGAAAAATCAATGAGTAAAAGGAGGAAGAAATAATATTTAAATAAATAAATAAACAAATAAAGAGAGAAAGAAAGACAAAAAATAAAGAAAAATGGAAAAGAAAGGAAGAATGAAAGAAATGATAGCAAATGGAAAAGGAAAGCGAGAATGGAGAAAGAAAGAAAGAAAAATATAATGAGAGAGAAATAATAAGGGAAGAAAAAGGAAGAGGAAAAAAGAAAAAAAAAAGAAATAATAAAGAGAAATAAAAAGGAAAAATATGAAAAAAAGTAAGAAATAAAAAAAAAATAATAAAGAAGAAAAGAAAATGAAAGTGTTAGAGAAGAAAGAAGAGGAGGAGGAGGAGGAGAAGACAAGCAGAATCAGGAATAGATTGATAGAGAGACAATAAACGTTTAGTGTCAGAAAATAAATAAGATGAAGAAAAAGTTAATGATATGATTTTAATGAATGAAAGAAAGTAGGAAAGAAAGGAAAGATAGATTGAAAGAGAGATAAAAGAAAGAAAAGTTAGACTGAAAGGAAGAAAGGAATGATAGACTGAAAGAAAGACTGACGGAAGGAAAGAAAGATCGAAAGGAAAGATAGACTGAAAGAAAAAAAGAAAGAACGAGAGAAAAGAAAGATAGATTGGAAGGAAGAAAGAAAAGAAAGAAAGAAAGAAAGAAAGAAAGAAAGGATGGAAAGACAAATTGAAAGAAAGAAAGATAGAGAAAAAGAAAGAAAGATAGATTGAAATAAAAAAGAAAAAAGAAAGGGAAATAAATTGACAGAAAGAAAGAAAGAAAGAAAGAAAGGAAACAGAAAGAAAGAAAGAAAGAAAGGAAAGATAGAGAAAAGAAAGTTAGATTGAAAGAAAGAAAAAAGAAAGAAAGGAAAATAGATTGAAAGAAAGAAGGGATGGAAAGACAGATTGAAAGAAAGAAAGATAGAGAAAAAGAAAGAAAGATAGATTGAAATAAAAAAGAAAAAGAAAAGGAAATAAATTGACAGAAAGAAAGAAAGAAAGAAAGAAAGGAAACAGAAAGAAAGAAAGAAAGAAAGAAAGGAAAGATAGAGAAAAGAAAGATAGATTGAAAGAAAGAAAAAAGAAAGAAAGGAAAATAGATTGAAAAAAAGAAGGGATGGAAAGACAGATTGAAAGAAAGAAAGATAGAGAAAAAGAAAGAAAGATAGATTGAAATAAAAAAGAAAAAAGAAAGGGAAATAAATTGACAGAAAGAAAGAAAGAAAGAAAGGAAACAGAAAGAAAGAAAGAAAGAAAGGAAACAGAAAGAAAGAAAGAAAGAAAGAAAGGAAAGATAGAGAAAAGAAAGATAGATTGAAAGAAAGAAAAAAGAAAGAAAGGAAAATAGATTGAAAGAAAGAAGGGATGGAAAGACAGATTGAAAGAAAGAAAGATAGAGAAAAAGAAAGAAAGATAGATTGAAATAAAAAAGAAAAGAAGAAAGAAAGAAAGGGAAATAAATTGAGAGAAAGAAAGAAAGGAAAGACAGATTGAAAGAAAGAAAGGAAAGACAGATTGAAAGAAAGAAAGGAAAAAAGGAAAGATAGACTGAAAGAAAGAAAGAAAGAAAAAAGAAAGAAAGAAAGGAAAGATAGATTGAAAGAAGAAAGAAAGAAAGAAAGAAAGAAAGAAAGAAAGAAAGAAAGAAAGGAAAATAGATTGAATGAAAGGAAGGAAGGAGAGATTGATTGAAAGGAAGAAAGAAAGAAAGAAAGAAAGAAAGAAGGGAAAATAGATTGAAAAGAAAGAAAGAAATGAAGGAAAGATATTAAAAGAGAGAATTAAAGCCAAATAGTATTTTGTTACGCAATTCGTCATTATCGCATCACCTACCAACCCACACAGTCGGTTTCTTGTTTGGAAAAATATCCTGAGATTCATTGCACAGACTTTGATTTATTTTGATTCATTACACAACAAGCAAGGCGATAATGCAGCTAAGACGCAAATGGGTCTCTTCGACTCAGTAATCCCTGGCGTCAATGGCTTTATCACATTGCTTGTGATAGACTAATGAAAAAAAAAATCAGATCAGTTCAACGAATCGCGGTAGATTTTTAAATCCAGAAACTGATTGGGGATGTTCCCAGTTGTGTAGCGAATATCGGATCGGAAAGGAATTTCAGCAAACCGACATCAAAATCTGTTTTTTATTTTGCATTTATTTCCTCACTAATGTCCCTGGGATGGACATTTCTTCTCCCCCTAGCTATGGGTTAACAATATAGTACCGTTCTTCCGATAGTGGAATATATTTTAAGACTTTTTTTTTATTCCTCAAATGTTGAAACCTTATCCGAAGACTAAAAGGTTAAATAGTAGTGAAAACTGTATACTCTAGCATTGGAGGGTAATTAGTTAATAAAAGGAAAACTCTGAATTGTGGAGAGGGTAAAGAGAAATCACTCCAGTATTTTTTCCCAAGAAGGTATGACAATTGAGAAATAGGAAAGAAAAGAAGACACGGAGTGCCATGATCGCCTACATGATGAAGGAAGATGGCATTAAGGATAAATGTTACAACTGATTTTTTGTACAAAAGTTTTGCGTACACAAAATAGAAGTGAAACACAATAGAAGAGAAGGAAGGAAGGAAGGAAGCGAGGGAGGGAGGGTCGACATAAGGAAGGAAGGAAGGAAGCGAGGGAGGGTCGACATAAGGAAGGAAGGAAGGAAGCGAGGGAGGGTCGACATAAGGAAGGAAGGAAGCGACGGAGGGTCGACATAAGGAAGGAAGGAAGGAAGCGACGGAGGGTCGACATAAGGAAGGAAGGAAGGAAGGAAGGAAGGAAGCAAGGGAGGGTCGACATAAGAAGGAAGGGAGAAAGGAAGGAAGGGAGAAAGGAAGGAAGCGGGGAGGGTCGACATAAGGAAGGAAGGAAGGAAGGAAGGAAGGAAGGAATGAAGCGACGGAGGGTCGACATAAGAAAGGAAGGGAGAAAGAAGGAAGGGAAGGAAGGAAGGAAGGAAGGAAGGAAGGAAGGAAGCGAGTGAGGGTCGACATAAGGAAGGAAAGAAGGAAGGTAGCGACGGAGAGTCGACATAAGGAAGGAAGGGAGAAAGGAAGGAAGAAAGGAAGGAAGGAAGGAAGGAAGGAAGGGAGCGATGGAGGGTCGACAGAAGGAAGGAAGGGAGAAAGGAAGGAAGAAAGGAAGGAAGGAAGGAAGGGAGCGATGGAGGGTCGACAGAAGGAAGGAAGGAAGGAAAGAAGGAAGGAAGGAAGGAAGCGACGGAGGGTCGACATAAGAAAGGAAGGAAGGAAGCGACGGAGGGTCGACATAAGAAAGGAAGGGAGAAGGAAGGAAGGAAGGAAGGAAGGAAGGAAGGAAGGAAGGAAGGAAGCGAGTGAGCGTCGACATAAGGAAGGAAAGAAGGAAGGAAGGGAGGGAGTGTCGACATAAGAAAAGAAGGAAGGAAGGTAGCGACGGAGGGCCGACATAAGGAAGGAAGGAAGCGACGGAGGGTCGACATAAGAAAGGAAGGAAGGAAGGAAACGACAGAGGGTCGACATAAGGAAGGAAGGAAGGAAGCGAGGGAGGGTCGACATAAGAAAGGAAGGAAGGAAGGTAGCGACGGAGGGCCGACATAAGGAAGGAAGGAAGCGACGGAGGGTCGACATAAGAAAGGAAGGAAGAAAGGAAACGACGGAGAGTCGACATAAGGAAGGAAGCGAGGGAGGGTCGACATAAGGAAGGAAGGAAGGAAGCGACGGAGGGTCGACATAAGGAAGGAAAGAAGGAAGGAAGGGAGGGTGGGTCGACATAAGGAAGGAAGGAATGAAGGAAGCGAGGGAGTGTCGACATAAGGAAGGAAGGAATGTAGGAAGGAAGGAAGGAAGCCACGGAGGATCGACATAAGAAAGGAAGGAAGGAAGCGACGGAGGTTCGACATAAGAAAGGAAGGGAGAAAGGAAGGAAGGGAGAAAGGAAGAAAGCAATGGAGGTTCGATATAAGGAAGGAAGGAAGCAACGGAGGGTCGACATAAGAAAGGAAGGAAGGAAGCGAAGGAGGGTCGACATAAGGAAGGAAGGAAGGAAGGAAGCGAGGGAAGGTCGATATAAGAAAGGAAGGGAGAAAGGAAGGAAGGAAAGAAGGAAGCGAGGGAGGGTCGATATAAGAAAGGAAGTGAGAAAGGAAGGAAGGAAGGAAGGAAGGAAGGAAGGAAGCGACGGAGGGTCGACATAAGAAAGGAAAGAAGGAAGGAAGAGAGGAAGGTTCGACAGAAGGAAGGAAGGAAGGAAGGAAGGAAGGAAGGAAGGAAGGAGTGAGGGTCGACATAAGGAAGGAAAGAAGGAAGGAAAGGAGGGAGGGTCGACATGAGAAAGGAAGCGACGGAGGGTCGACATAAGAAAGGAAGCGACGGAGGGTCGACATAAGAAAGGAAGGGGCAAAGGAAGGAAGGGAGAAAGGAAGGAAGGGAGAAAGGAAGGAAGGGAGGAAGCAAGTGAGGATAAGAAAGGAAGGGAGAAAGGAAGGAAGGAATCGATGGAGGGTCGACATAAGAAAGGAAGGAAGGAGGCGACGGAGGGTCGACATAAGAAAGGAAGGGTGAAAGGAAGGAAGGAAGCGACGGAGGGTAGACATAAGGAAGGAAGGAAGGAAGGAAGGAAGGAAGGAAGCGAGCGAGGGTCGACATAAGAAAGGAAGGGAGAAAGGAAGGAAGTAAGGAAGTGAGGGAGGGTCGACATAAGAAAGGAAGGAAGGAAGAATAAAGGATCGGAAAAGAGAGAGCAGAAAGAAGAATTGTTCTACTATAAGACGATCGATAAAGAATGAATGAAAGAAAGAACAACTGAAAGAAAGAAAGAAAGAAAGAAAGAAAGAAAGAAAGAAAGTCAAACAGACAGACAGGAATGAAACGGAGACGGAAAGAAAGAAAGAAAGAAAGAAAGAAAGAAAGAAAGAAAGAAAGTCAAACAGACAGACGGGAATGAAAGAAAGAAAGAAAGAAAGAAAGAAAGAAAGAAAGGAAGAAAGAAAGAAAGAAAATAAAGAAAGAGAGAATGAAAGAAATAGAAAATAGATTAAGAACAGCAAAAAATAAAGTATAAAGAAACAAGCTGGGAAATGAAAGAAAGAAGGAAAGCAAGAAAGAAAGAAGCAAAGAAAGAAGAAAGTAAAAAGAAAGAAAGAAAGAAAGAAAGAAAGAAAGAAAGAAAGAACGAAAAAAAGAGAACAACTGAAAACTTATCGGAAAATAAATAATGGAAGAAAGATGTAAAAAAGGAACGAACGACTGAACTAAGGAAGGAAAGATGAAAGGAAGGAAGAATAGATGAAAAACCGAAGTTTAGCTATAACACTAAAAGCGAGTATCTGATTGAAAGAAAGAAAGTGAATCGGACAAGAAGAGAATAAAGGTCGAAGAGCCATTAGAAGGAATTATTGAAAGAAGTTCTGAAATGAGTGAATGAAAGAAAGTCAGAATAAAAGAGAACGTTGCAATAACAACTTAAAGATGCACAGAAAGGAAGGAAGGAAAGCTATATGTGAAAAATATATTGAACGATAGAGCAAAAAAGAAAGAAAAAAATGAATGAATGAATGAATGAATGAAAAAGGACCACGCAAAGAGTAGCAAAAACAACGGTAAAAAGTTACAAAAATCATATCAGACGACACAAACACACACGCACACATACACGAGCGCACACACACGCAGCAAAAAATAAATGGAGAGAGAGTGAGAGATAGAGAGAGAGAGAGAGAGAGATAGAGAGAGAGAGAGAGAGAGAAAGGAAAGAAGGTGGCTACGCTCCAAGCCGTCCCTCGGCAGCGGGCCAGAAGCCATCGCTCACACGCTTGTAACAAAAGCAGATTTTGAAGCTCGCCGGTCTCCAGCGAGATGCCTCTTTCCCGGGCGGACTGACTTATCCGTGACAGAAAACGGCGCCTGTGTAGTCAGAAGCAGTCCCGCTGGGCAGGCCCGACTAGATTAGAGCCGAACGTCTCACTCTACATCGTATTGAATTACATTACATTGGTCGACTATAATATTGATTACTCTACACTGACATCGACTCGAACATAGCCGGCCATCGCGGCCAGCAACGCCATCAGTTATAACGTCAACGTAATTTGTGGGCATAGCTTAGTGGTTGGAGCGTTAGGCAAAAAGAAAGGAAATAACAAAAATATATTGGAAAGAGGAGGAGAAAGAAAAAAATGAATGACAGAAAGAATGAATCTATCGAGGACTGAATGAATTTAAGGCGAATGAAAAATGAATACAGGGTAACCCGGATATAAGAGAGTTGTCGGGACCGGAGACGAAGTATCTTATATCCGGGTTTCTCTTATATCCGGGTTTGGTCTATTTTATATACATTAACACAGGCTCTAATTGGGGACCAGACAAAATCTCTCTTATATCCGGGTTTCTCTTATATCCGGGTCTCTTATATCCGGGTTACACTGTAATTAAAAAAAGAAAAGGGAAAATTAATTATCAAATTAAGTAATTGAACAATCACTACATTTTGACTAGGATTTACTTATTAATTTTTATTAAAAGAATCATTATCAGCATCATTGAAGATGAAGCCCCGTTGACAATTTATGACAAGTATTTACTTTCATCTTATTAACTGAAGCCTTATCGACCATTTTTATTAATTTTTGAGCATTTATTTTCATCACCCTTATTAACGGAAGCCTTGTCGACCATTTTTATTAATTTTTGAGCAGTATTTATTTTCATCACCATTTTCTTATTAACGGAAGCCTTGTCGAACATTTTCATTCATTTTTGAGCAGTATTTATTTTCATCACCATTTTCTTATTAACGGAAGCCTTGTCGACCATTTTTATTCATTTTTGAGCAGTATTTATTTTCATCATCATTTTCTTATTAACGGAAGCCTTGTCGACCATTTTTATTCATTTTTGAGCAGTATTTATTTTCATCACCATTTTCTTATTAACGGAAGACTTGTCGACCATTTTTATTAATTTTTGAGCAGTATTTATTTTCATCACCATTTTCTTATTAACGGAAGACTTGTCGACCATTCTAACAATTTTCCTTTCCATTCTCTCAGAAATTAACCGTTTTCTTCCAGTCCTTAATTTATTCACAACACAAAGCGTCTATTTGTACTTCTTGATAATGCTACAACTTATCGATCTAGGAACATTATTAAACACTTGGGAAGTGTCATATATCCATCACCTTCTTTGTACGCATCAACTCTCTTCCTTCAAATCTTCTTGTCAAGCTCAAAAATGGCTGTAGAACGAAAGAATTATTATGGTACGTGGCACACACATATTGTCTTTTTCATTAACTTTTAGATTCAACTCAATACTATTTCCTTTTAAGTGGTGTTTGTATTGAATGTAAGATTAAGAAGAAACATTACAATTGCCATAGAACAATATTATTTCATAATTTCTATAAGGTGGTAGCAAATAATTTTGGACTGCACCAATTTTTAGAAAAATCTATAACTATAAATATAACAGATCGAAACTTCCTCAAAACTAAATATTGAATCAACTATTTATGGTAAATTCAGTAAAGACTTGCAAATATTTGCATTTCCTTAGAAAATATTCAGTAGGGGTGGGGGATAAATAATTCCGTCTACAACTGTATATATGTAAAGAAAGTAATGGGATTTCATTTATTAATCCGAAAGATTTTTATGACTTCAGTCAGTTATGTGCCATACGTGATACACAATCATGATTTTTATGACTTCAGTCAGTTATGTGCCATACGTGATACACAATCATGTATCTTTCAATACATGACTGACGAGGCAGATTTTTTTCCGAAGTAGGTTGCCATTTCTTTCTGTGGTGGACCAGTTGCCATCCAAGGTTATAGAAGCCAAACTATCCTGCTATTTACCCATATCTGGAGGCAGACGAAGAGGATTAATACCTTTCCCAAGGGTATTAGTACGTAAGTGAATATAATGGATTCGACTGGAATTCGAACTCGGCTCTCCGAGTTCTCACTTCCATTACTCCATTTTATGACTTAGGCGTTATTTTTAATGGATCCTGGTATGCATTAAATACGAGAATCCATTAAAAAATAACGATTAAGTAATAAAAATATGTTAGATTAAAGAATAAAAGAAATTCTTTAGAAATTGTTTTGTTTACGTTAAGATAGAAGAAAGGATTAAACCTCAACTGTAAGAAGACAGAATGCATTGTTGTTAGCAAAAGGGTAAGCCCAAAGTACGAATTGCAAATCGGAGATACCAAAAGCAAAAAAGTATGGAAATTTAAATACCTAGGAATTGTTTTAATAAATAACGGAGTGTGTGACACTGAAATCCGAAGACACATTGGACAGTCAAGCAGAGTACTAAGAAGTCAAAAAAAAAAAAAATCCGTAGAAACAAAGAAAATAGTACTGAACTGCTACGTAATATACACCTCCTGTATAGCAGTGAGTGCTACACAATTTCCTCGAAGATGAGGCGACGACTTGAAGCAACAAAAATGTGGTTCTACAGAAGGATACTGAGGATACCATAGACCGAACATGTGGACAACAACGAAGTTTTGGAGAAAATTGAAACAAAAAGGAAAATATTACTTAATATCAGGAAGAAGACACTTGAAATTTCTGAGGGACATAAGGACGGTTTTGGACACGCAAAAGAAGTTGTGCGGAGAACAGATACTACAGTTTGATCTAAGGTGGGAAGGTGTAACTGTTAACGCATAGAAAGAAGCAAAATAGTATTTTAATATTAGTCGGTAATATAAAATACTAATAAAATACTAATATAAAATATTATTATACAATACTATTATGAAATACTAATAAAATACTAATATAAAATACTAATGGGATACTAATGAAATAATATTATGAAATACTAATAAATACTAATATAAAGTGATAATATAAATACTATTATAAAATACTAATAAAATACTAATAAAATACTCATAAAATAATTATATAAAATACTAATAAATTAATAATATAAAGTACTATTATAAAATAGTATTATGAAATACTAATAATAATATGAAATACTATTATAAAATACTAATAAAAATACTAATGAAATACTATTAAAAATACTATTATAAAATACTAATAAATACTAATATAAAGTACTAATATAAATACTATTATAAAATACTAATAAAATACTAATATGAAATGCTAATAAAATAGTAATATAAAATTCTAAATATACAATTCTAATAAAACATTACTGATAAAATAGTAATTTACACGGATACAGAAATTTAGGGCGTTGTCATGTGATGTCACGTGTTCTGTAATCCGTTAGGGTCAAAGGGGCGCAAAAAGTACTGCAATCAAAGCAGTGGTATTATGTCTAGATACCCTGATAGAAGCCATCCATTTTTTGATGGTTTTGAATTCAGTGTTTTGCCTTTTCCGCGACTGTTTGTCATCTTGATGCAGGAATTCCCAGTTAACCCTGTTACATAACATAGATCCGCGGAGTAGAGATTGATTCGTGATAAAATTTAGGATACTTTCTGTGAAATGAACTCCAGAGAGAGACCAGCTCATACAATGAGTACGAAAAAAGCAATGAAAGTGTTCAGACGAACTAGATTCTTTAGTCCCACCAATTCTAACTTTCACAGCTTGGGCCCGCCTTGCCAACGCCCATTGTAGAGAACCACCCTCCTTACCATCTTGTTCCATTGGGGAGCCTCTTCCCACGAACCACTACTCTGTGGCACCGTGTCTCAAGAGGACGCTCCCCCAATCACTATAATCTTAAGCTGTTTAAGTCTCGGGTTAACAGTTATCGGCCTCACATATCTTTATAGCTCAGTGACGTGCAGAGTTTTGATGATGTTTGGTGATGCTCGGCGCCAACTCCTTGATTGTATACCCTCTAAGACTCATGTAGCGGACCTCTAGGGCCAACTACAGAGAAATGTGAAAAAGGAAGATATTTACTGTTCTCATTGGCTAGATGATCCCGACTCCGGTTGATTTCATTTTTAAAACTGTAATATTCCGTGCTAATAGGAATATATACTTGAAAAACAGTACACGAATAAAGGTAACAGTTATGCACAAGGTCGTCGCAATTCAATCCAGTAGCGAGTGTTACTATTCGAAGGTCGCTAGTTCTCGCGTTAGTCTGAGTCATAATCAACAGATCCCAGCTAGTAATATTTACCAACCTCCCCAAGGCGTATGATGTAGCACAAAGTTGAATTTAATGTAGGGCAATCCAAGCCTGTAAACTCCGCATTAGCGGGTTCCGTCTATCTACCTCCCCAGACGAGACTCTGCCCTTCGGGATAGCCTCGTCTGGGTTCCTGTCTTTCCGACGGTAGAGAGTTCGACAGCAGCTGAGTAACAGATCCCAGCTAGTCAATATTTACCAGCCCCTAATGTGGGGTAATCCCAGCCCGTATTAAAACGGGATCGGGTAGCTATTTCCCGAGACGAAACTCTGCCCTTCGACATAGCCTCAACTAGGGATCCTCTCTGCCGGAGGCAGAGAGTTTGACCAGCACAGCTGGAACAGATTCCAACTGATAATATTTCCCAACTTCCCATGTGGTACGATGTGGCACAAGGTCCAGTTTAATGTGAGGTCATCTGAGCCCGTTGGCTCGGCCAAAAAATTGCCCGTAAACCCTGCATAAACGGGATCAGGTCTGTTTACCTCCTCGGACGAAACTCTGCCTTTCGGCATAGCCTCGTTTGGGTTCCTCTCTGCCCGAACGCAGAGAGTTGGACAGCACATCTAGAAGAGATTCCAACTGATAATATTTAACAGCCCCCCCCGTACGAGGGATGTATGTGGCACAAGGCCGAG